AGTTTTTATTTGATGTAAGTGCTCATGGATGAAATATTGATTAATAATAAAAAAAAATAAATTTTGCGTGTACATTCAGATGTATGATAGAAATCATGATATGAAAATTGATCGAAATGAATTATTAGAAGTTCTTAAAATGATGGTCGGTGGAAATATTCATGATGATCAAATTGCAACAATTGCTGATCATACTATTGGAGAATTAGTAAGTACAACAAAATAAGACGTGAGAATATTGAAACTTTCCAATTCATGTTTTAGGATAATGACGGTGATAAATCAATAACATTTGAAGAATTTTGTGAGACACTTGCACGTATTGATGCCGATGATAAGATGAGCATGAAATTTTTAAGCTAAATACAACAGCTAAATGTTAAACACATTTTCTATTGTTGATTTTGAAATATCTCATGACAACCAACATTTTTCATATTTATTTTTTTGTTATATTATGTATTGTTTAATATGATTATTCTTGTGGCAATCTATGCAGCGTATATTATTCATCGTTTTGATATAGTTCTTTGATTTTTTTAAACGGATTATTGTAATCAAGCATCTATATGTGTGATCTTTGTCTGCGGTATACTTGCTTTGTTTCTTTGCGATTGTCACTATTTATTAAATGATGATATTTATTAGAGCCCAAAAAAAGAAAAATAGAAAAAAAAATTCAGCAAATATATTATTGTTATTGGTATTCTTTTTATTTTCTCTATTTGAAATAAACCATCAAGGATGTCTAATAGAATAATAACAAAGAATAATAAATATTTTATTTTATTTTATTCTGCTGAGGACATAGTAAAAGCAGTGATTTTGATAGATAAAACTCCACAAGAAAAAGTAAATCAAGTTTTGGCTTTAGCAAGTATTCGAACTAATGTATGTACTTTATCTGCAGAATAAGAGAAGTATAGAGTAATTATGATACTTTTTAATTCAAGATAATAAAATCTTTCTAAAAGTAAAAAAACAAAGAATTATTTTATAGATGAGTTAATCTATTTTTACTTATGCACATCCAAGATCTAGCATACTGTGACGAGTAATATCCGGTAAACGTCCATTCAAAGGTGGTGTAGCTAATTCAGTATCTCCTTTTTTAAATATATAAACACATTCATTGTATCAACTTCTGCTTCATGTCATTCGTTATCATGAAGCTATAGCACTTGTTGACAGCTTTTTGTTTGAGCCAATTTATTGACATGAATGGTTGATCCATAATTTCTATGAAACAATATAAATGTCGAAAAAAAGCAGATTAGATTGCTTACAATCTAACTGTATATTAACCCCTTTCACCTAGCAACGTTCGACAATGAACTGTACTAGGGTGGGTGTGGGTGTGGGTGTGTGGTTGTAGGTGTAGATGTGGTTGTAGGTGTGGGTGGGAGTAAGTCATCTGATCAAACCCACACCCACATTCACGCGCTCACACCCACATCGACACTCACACGCACACTCATACCCACATCCATACACACCCACGGGACTGGGACACCATTGCCTACACTCTGAAATGGCGAAAATCGAGCCGAAAACGGCAACAGGAACCAACTTTGGAACTGGTCGCCGAGAATAAATCGAAACTTCATGGATCCAGCCGTTTACCTTCGCAACTCTGTGACTTCTTAGTTTTGTCGTTCTTATGGGAAAGAGCGAAAAATTATCTAGAATGAGTGAAACACAAATAAAAAGTGAATGAGATAAGATATCCAACATAATGACAATCAAGTGAATGCAGAGATAAGAAGGAAACGAAAGTTCGAAACCACCACGATAAAGTAAATGACGCCGTTAGAGTTTTTCCTTTTCGCTTTTTTGGCAACCACTGTTTCAATTCAAGCTTGGTGTAGTTTATTTGCGATTGCCAACAAAAAAAGGGCCACATTCGACGTCGTAGAAAAATCTTGAAAAAACAGCTCGTATCGAATATATAAATCTAAAAGGCAGTCTCTGTCTAAACAACAAACGATTATTACACCATTTGTCAACAACGATCAAACAACATTTATACACAATAAGTTAATAAAAAATCAAGCAAAATATTTCCACGTCCAATATGAGTACCATTATAAGTACAACTGCATCATCGAATACCGTTCAAGCAAGACGGCGCATCATTCAAAATTGTTTACTCATCTGGATCGTTCAAAACATCGACCAAACAAATCAAGATTATCAAAATGCATTGGCTCAGTTGCGTAATGTCAATTACGATGAACACATTTTCACTGACCTAGACGAATGTATTGACTTCTTCACCGAAATTAATGATCGCAAGGCTTTCCTGATTGTAGAGCATACTATAGCCCAACAATTGGTGCCTCTCATCCACGATATACCGCAGCTAGATAGTGTTTATATCCTCGGTGACAATAAACTACAAGACGAAATGTGGACAAATAGTTGGTCCAAAATTAAAGCTGTTCATACGGAAATAAAGCCCATCTCTGAAGCACTGCAATTGGTCATTAAACAGTTTAACCAGAATTCGATTTCAGTAAGCTTTCTCCCTGTGAAGGAAGCTGATTCCAGCGAAAATCTGGATCAATTAGATCCTTCATTTATGTATACTCAAATATGCAAAGAAATTTTCCTTCACATGGACCATAGCCAACACGCCATCAAGGGTTTTATTCAATTGTTGCGAGACCAATACAGCGATAATCCACTTAAATTGAACGATATTGCTGAGTTCGAGCGTGATTATTGCCCAAAATCATCGATTTGGTGGTACACTCGGGAGCGTTTTGTGTACAATATTCTCAACTTTTCTCTGCGAACACTGGAAACCAAAGTAATTATGAAAATGGGCTTCTTCATTCATGATCTTCATTTCCGAATTGAAGAGTTACATAAACAACAAATCAAAACTTACCATGGCGAACCGTTTATGGTTTATAGAGGACAGGGGTTATCGAGTGTCGATTTCCAGAAACTTCAGCAAAACAAAGGTGGACTGATATCCTTTAATAACTTTTTGTCTACTAGTGAGAATCAACCAATTTCCCTGCTCTTCGCTGAGAGTGCATCAACCCAAACCGATATGATGGGCATTCTCTTCCAAATTTTTATTGATCCTACTGTCTCATCTACTCCTTTTGCCAATATACAAAATGTCAGTTACTTTTCGGAAGAGGACGAAATTCTCTTCTCCATGCACACAGTTTTTCGTGTGAACGAAATCACACAAGCATCTAACAATAGTCGACTGTGGAAAGTACTACTAACTCTCACAGAGGACAACGATGCACAACTGGCTGCTCTCACAACCAGTATTCAAGGAGAATTACTAGGAATAACACCGTGGTATCGCGTAGCTGAACTACTCTACCGAGTGGGTCACTTCGATCAAGCTGAAGACCTCTACAACGAATTACTCAACAGCTCTTCTACTGACTTTGAGAGGATGTGGATCTACGACCGCCTTGCATGGGTGAAAAGAGCACAAGGACAATATGAAGAAGCAGCTGCACTTTTTTACAAACACTCCGAACTAAAGCGAATAATTTGTCCGGAATTTTTTCTCTCATTTATCCAGAGCTACGGCGGTGAAGCCAGTGTACATACTGACCTGGGTGACTACTCGAAAGCACTTGAACTTTACGAAAAACATCTTGAAATCACACAAAAAGCTATCCCTCCCAATCATCCCGCTCTCGCTCTTTCCTACAACAACATCGGTAACGTCCATAACA